ACAGAGTGACGGATTGGTTCGGTTTTTTATGTGGAGATAGTTGGAGGGCTGGTAAGTGACATAGGCTACTTTTTACCGAGAGAGATTATGTCATTCCCACGGGAAAACAGGTTTAATTCAACCCAAAAAAAATGATCAGAATTACTTGAAACTTGGTATTCATGCTCTTCAATATAATTTAAAAAAAAACGTGTTTTAGCAGTTTTCAAAATTCATCCCATAAGGGGGTAAAATTAGGGATTAAAGTTTGTATGAAACCTACCATTTTTGGGATTTATTGTAGTTTTAACTGGAGCGAAGCCGCTTATGCTGGTCTTCTATGAATCAAAGGAACTATATTCTATAAGGAAAACATGACTGAAATGAAAGATTCTGCTACTACTTTGACACTGTACAGATTTTAGTTTGAGACGCAATAAACTGTGTGTCTTAATTGAAGGATTTTTATTAAGATTAAAAGAAAAACAATCTTTTTTTTTCATAGTAGAATTGCTAAATTTTCACAACTTCCAGGCTAAGTAAAGGAGGAAAAACTGCTTGTACACCCATACATATACATAATATGTAAGTATGTACCTACTATGTAATGTCATACATGACAGGATTATTTAAAAAAATATATCTTGGAATAAGGTAAACTTAAATTATAAGTCGTCAAAGAATATAGTAATACCACGGTAATGTAATGTAATATTACCGTGGTAATACAGCTAGCATGTGGTTTTTTTTTTAATATTTTATACTAGCGGTTCCCTCGCTTCGCTCAGCTTCGTCTCTACGAAAACAAAAACAAACCTATCCCAAGGGAGCCGTACATTTTTCCGGAAGAAAAAGTAGCCTATGTATTATTCCAGCCTATAATCTATATCTGTGCTAAATTTCATCCACATCCGTTCAGCCGTTCAGCGTGAAAGAGTAACAAACATTCATACTCACAAACTTTCGCATTTATGATATTAGTATAGATATAGGTATGTGCAATGTACATATATATACGTTAACCGGTTTTTGATAGAGAGTTTAGATATTTTGCATCTCATCTCACACACCACGAAAACACGAAAACATATTCATATATTAAATTACTGCTTCTTCTTTCAAATATACTTACTCTACTTTTTATAGGAGCAATAAATCTTGTATTTACTAATTAAGCACTAAATATAGCGTATTAATTACTAATGCGAACATGTTATATTACTGACACAATAGTATTATATTATTATAGGCGTCTCGTTGAATGCGACACTGTATGTTAAATAGTTGTCTGTATGGTCGATGAAAGGAATATGTACCTATTTAAAGAAACTTTTATTGTAAAATTTATAACGATATTTAGCATTGTTCATTGTTTAAATAGGTACTTAGAATATAACAATATATTTTTATAAGTACACTAGCATTGCCGTGGCTCCGCGGGCGTTCAGATGACCAAAAACCAAATTCTTAGGTTTTACATATTAGTATACTCTTACATTGCAGTTTTTGTATTTTTTCTCAGAAATGAGATTTATTCCCGCGGTAAAAAGAATCCTATATGTTGACCCGGATAACCAGCTATCACCATACCAAATTGCATCAAAATCCCTCCAGGGGTTTTTCCGTGATTCGGTAACAGACAGACAAAAATTCTAAAAACTATAGATTCAGCCTCGAATCGATAATAATGTTTATTTCAATAAGATTTTCCAAAAAATATTTAATGTACAGATTAGGCTTAGTTACAACTATTATATGTATAATTTTAAAATATAAAATTTTTGACTGAAAAATCTGTTTGTTTTTTTTTTCAGAAATGATCATTATACGTAATTATATGACTTTTGCGACTCACAGATAAAAGTAACAAATCAGTTACAAGTACAACATACTTTAGATAATTAAGAATTTTTTGACAAAAAAACCCGATAACTCATGACTCGACTTCTAGGACTCTAACCCTGGATCTCATTATCTGCTTACATTATCTGCATGCATTGGCACGAGAATAATGTTTTTTTTTAAATAAGTTATACAATGTACCTACGTAAATAATATTTTATATATAAGTATTATTTTACACTGCATGAAATCTTAAAAGAATTATTTTAAAATTTGGAAGTGTCGAGCTATTATGTTAAATAATTAACCAATATTATTCAAGATCATTGTTTCTACTAATTCGTCAATCATTGTGAATATGCCAAACTAATAAAATAACAAACGAGATAAAACAAAGATGTCAGACAGAAATTACTGTGAAGATTTACAAGTCTCTACACTCAGAATATCTAATTAGATTTGCGAGTTACCATGAGAATCACGTCCATAATACCTACTGTCAAGAACATAAAGATATTTAAAATGTAACTTACATAACAAAATATTTCTAACTGACTGCCTCCTTGGTTTAGTGGTTTGCATGTGCATTATAAATTTGCAGATTGTGAGGTCCTCAGTTCTAGTCCCTGATTGATCTAAAATATATGCTGGTGTTTTTCTGCCACGAAATACTCGATAGCAGCCTGAATTTAGAAAATTGGTGGGTATTTACACTCCCATAACTGTGAGAGTATGTCACTTTTGCCATATCCAAAAGTATTATTATTATTTAATATGATAACGTTTAACTTAACGGTTGTCGTATTAAAAAACTAAACAACTCTTTTACTATTTACTACATTACATGAAAAAATTTAAAAATAAAGAAATATATTTGCACATTTATCTAACTAATAACTATCAAATAATTGTCGAAGATCAAATAGCACCCTGGCTTTAGAAACAAAGTGACGCGGGTTCAGATCCTATACCTCATTTTCAATATAATTACCATTTGCTAAAATAGTAGAGTAAAGATCGCAAGAAAACTTGCATGTCTGAAAGAAGTAACTAGTTTTTGAAATACTTTGAAGGCTGCCAACCGTCATCTGACCACCATTTTGAAATATTCTCTACTACTTCACTCTGCTTTGCAAAAAGGCTCGTACTTCGCAAACAGTACTTTAAAAGGGACCAATTATTATTATATCATATTTGTATATCATATTTGTTGCATGAGAGAGATAGTTGGTATACGTTTTAAAAGTCACTATAAACTGTATTATTCTTTAATAGCTTAGACTACGAATACGTCATGTCAGGTTCAAAAATTATAAATAGCCTAGTCTTCAGATTGCCTTCAAACAATGGTTGAGAACTAAGAAATTTAATAATTTTTGAGGGAAAGAGAAATACGATTACTAAATTCATATTAATATTATGTTCCATTGCATCAGTGTAAAATAACAGAGTACAGTGTTGTGAATTGGTGTTGTGAAATGGCGCTTTGATTTAAATAGGAAATTCTGTATAAGCATGCTAAATAAACACTTCAACAATGAATACCCTGTAATGGCTAATATATAAACAAATTATGACGTTGTTTTTAGGTATAACAAAAATGGAACCCTTTAATTCCATCATATCCAGTCACAAGAATTTAGATTTTAATAGTTCGTCACTTGAGAAATTGAGGATTTCTACAGATCTTTGCTATGGTACATGTAATAAATATAAATTAGTAATTGTGTATTAAGTATTAACTATGATAATATGTAGTTTATATGTAGTCGATAACATGGGCGGAACAGGAAGTACAAGCTCGTTATCATAAAAAGTCTTTTAGAATGAATTTCAATCACGGCGGTTCATATCTGATATTACTGTGCTGGAAAATTGTAAAATTAGTGTACATGGATATGTTCAAACATAAATATATTATTTATTTCTTTCACTTTCGTAATAAAGTAGGATAGTTACGATCCCCCCCAACGTGCGTTCACCTTGTCGTGGTGGTAGGGCTCAGTAGTGCCCGGCAATCCAACCGGGCTAAGAAACGCACAAGGAGGTTGCCCACTTCGGTGGGCGGTGGGAGGTGGCCCTCTTCGGGGGGCGGTGTACCATGCGGGTTGCTCCTGGTACTTCTCTGATAGCAGAGTGGACTGTGGAGCAACCCCATGGTTGTGGTGGTCTGCTTCGGCAGACCTGCCGTCGGGGCGTCGTAGTTGAATGCGTAAGCGATCCTGCGACGCCCCATTAAGACGCGGGAAGGTTTTGTTGGGTTTTAGTGGGTAGTACTGGCTGTATTACGTCGGTGAGTCCCACACGTCGTGCGTAAATGCATTTCCCAACGTTAAAAAAAAAAAAAGGATAGTTACGATACGATCGGTGATCAGGCGCAGGGTTAAAGCCTGCGCTTGATCCCTATGTGTCCCCCCATGTTTCGGAGATCAATTTATTTTATCTACAAATAACATAGCATACACAAACTTACAACACGACACGACACAAACGACAATAGTATTTAATGCATTATACACCTACCATATGCTTGGGTAGATAAAAAACAGGTATGTACAAATGTGATTGAAATAAAAATAAACTATATATTTTGTAGAAATATTTATTAAAAGTAGTTATAAAATTTATATTTAAAAATGTAGAAAAGTGTAAACATTTAAACTAAATTTATAACATAAACACGCAGTAATATAGATTTAGCTTTATGTACTTACTAGTAATACTAAACTGAGGACTAGCACGTTTGTAGGTAAAATGTATTTACTTGACAATAAATATAATAACTTCATAATATAATCTTTCTTTTTCGTACATCAATATTTACGTTTCATAAGCATAAAGATAATTCTTTATGCTTAAAAACATAGTTTAAGTGTAAACTTATACTGTACAAACATTTTATCTAATATATATTTTATATAATATTATTATAAACATAAGTTATTCTAATAAATGCAATAACATTAAGGGTCGCTTACAGCAATGCATAAGTCGTAGAATCAGTTAAACTATCACTATTATTTAATTCAGAATAGCTAAAAATTCAATTTGGCAAGAACCTAAACTTACAAATTATTTAAATTAATGCAAACATAAAAATATACGTAAGAGCAAAGTTATTGATATCATCATTGAAATCGAGAACGATCCATTCTTGACGTGGCTGTTGCATCAATTACTTAGTTTTATTTCTAGCAGGTAATTCGATATAATCTAGTACTTCCCAATCAGTTTCGTCGTCTTCTGGTAAGTGGGGAGGTATAGCAGCCCGAGCCAAGGGCGTTCCCATGTTGTCTAAAGACAGGTAAGCTCGTAGCGCGGCGGCAGAGTCGTCAGGAGCGGCGCGAGCCCTCGCATTGAACGGACCTCCGATGTCCTCGCTCGGTAACTCCCAAATATGGAATTGTGTAGTCATCTTGAAATTCTGTTCATAAAAAATATTCAAAAGATATTTAATATTTATATAATATATTGTACCTAATACATTTTTTACACATTATAAATGTGTATGATATATATTTATAATTATAATATATAATAAAAACTGGTCAAGAAGGTAGACAAAAATTAAGCAAACTAAAACCAGATTTACTGGTATACCGGCGATTTTGCGTCTCACGGTAGTTGGTGAAATCTTTAAAAAGTAAATAATATTCGAAACGGTTCTCGTTTTCGTAGAAATCAGTATATTCTGCATAATTTTTCCTCTTAAACTAATAGGTAGTATTTGTTGCGGATGAATGGTAAATCTCAATTTACATATTAAGATGAACGAACACCTACATATCTCAGCAATTCGACTATAATTAACTTTTAAAAACAACATAGCGTAAAAAGCTATTTTGTTGATAAAATTTTAAAGATTTCGTTTTTAAGAACTCATAGCAATATACAGCGCACAGTTATTTACAAAATGTCTTATAATAGACACGACAGTAAACTAAAGAATTTCTTCTTAAAACTTACATGTTTATATAAATATTAAATATCAAAGTAGGTAATAAATGTCGAATTTTAAAGTTTATCCACAATAATATGTAACAGCGATATACAATAGTTAACCTAAACCACAATAACGTGTTCTTTCAGTGCCCTTGCCTGTTTCCGCCTCGACGCGACGTAGATATCCTACGAGGCGTGTTGGTACATAACCTATATTCATTGTCCATACATAATATATTACACGTAGTCGATGCATTCATGCAAACAATGAGCAATTACATAGTAGTTAAGTTCTAATGTACTAGATACATCGGAAGTGGATTTATGTATTTCTAGCCGGGTACCTATGTACTATGTATTTTATGCGCAATAAAAACATTAAAATCTAAACAGTATTTCATACTTAAAATGTAAGAAAACGAATTATCTTAAAGTAATATTTAGTTTTGTCTTGAAAAGCAAATCAGAACCATGTTTACATACAGATTGATATGTATGTATGTTTATCACAATTTAAACCCAATGCCTAATATTGAGTACATTATTATTTATTATCCTTATTTACTTTTAAGAAGATTGTACTCTAAAAAATAAAAACTGACTTCAAACAAAAGCACTAAAAAGTAAAAATAATTGATTGGTAGTTTTCATTTACTACACATACCTAATCAAATATTTTCGAAGTCGGTGTGCTTTGCTTTGTATGGGCTGGCACCGATTTCGAAAATATTTGATAAGGTATGTATTTAATAGGTAGGCTTTAATTACTTAGCCAAAGCACACCGACTTCGAAAATATTTGATTAGGTATGTATAGTAAATGAAAACTACCAATCAATTATTTTTACTTTTTAGTGCTTTTGTTTGAAGTCAGTTTTTATTTTTTTGTTAAAAATTTTTTATTTTTCCCTTTTTAGTGTAGACAGTAGTAGCAAAGTAAGGATTCTAACGTGTTAGGCTTGTCAAATCAAACAAAATAAGCCCAAACCTAAAGTACTATTAGCCGTTGAAGAGTTCCCCCTATCCACCTTCTGGCCTTGCCATCAGATCAGGTCAACAACACCGAACCACTGTACTATCAACGGAAATAGAAATACTTGCAAAGTTTCAAGTCAATATGACAATTAGAAGTAGGTTAAATTCATCATTAGTTGTTTTTTCACCCTTAGGGGTGGTATTTTTTTTTTGAAATTTAAATGGGACCAATCTGGAAGTATACCCTTTCAAACAAAACAAAAATTGTCCAAATCGGTTTATAAATGACGGAGTTCTGAGGTAACAAACATAAAAAAAACCTAACAGTCGAATTGAGAACCTCCTCCTTTTTGAAGTCGGTTGAAAATAGTTGTAGTGTACATAAACATGATGATGTTCTCCTGACCGATTCCGGCCACGGCAGCCAATCTTATTGAGACTAGCCAACTGCGCAGGAGATATTATAGTGCACAAGTGTACGCGCAGACACAAGTGCACTCTCTATTCCTGTCACTCTCTTACTCCGGTGGGACGACCACTCGACACGACAAGTGAGAGTTAAGGCAGGCGCAGGACCGTCGGCTTTACGTGCTCTCCGAGGCACGGGGGTGAAACACCGCCAACTTCCCAACTCCGGGCTGTTACTGAGGCTTACTATACAGGAAGACTCAATAACTAAACTTGGCCCGACCCGGGACTCGAACCCAGGACCTCCGGGTGTGCAGCCGTACATGCTAGCCACTACACCACCGAGGCAGTTAAAACTAACTTAAACATATAAGTAATCTCACAAAATTATCATATTATGTTAGCGGCTGAACCCTAAGTAGTCTGAAATAACAACGATTAATCACGGCCCAGTATAAACGTCTTGATAAATTTTGACTAATTAGCTAATTATGCCGTATAATAACAAATATCCCGATGACAATGACGCACGGAAAAAGTCATAAAGTTCTGTTTGTTGTCCAAACACCTGATAAAGATGCATTTACACTACCTACTGTATTTAATTTTTTGTTTTTTATTTAAAATATATTTATAAATTAATCCAATTATATAGTCTTAATCGTTTTTAACTTTTATTGTTGGTGCTATATTTCAATTACACATAGGGTATATAATGTGTGTCTTTATTTTATATGACATTTACGCAATCTCAGCATTAATCCTTCCACGATCGCGGACACGCCGGCGTGTCAGTTAACAATAGATTTCTTAGAAATTCAATTAATTTCTTAGAAATTTACCTGGAGGTGTTAAGAGCAAGTGACAGAAATGTTGTCTTGTAAATTTTATAACAATACCTAGAAATTACTGTATAATTTTTATAGTTAAAATATTAATTTTGTAGATTTTTAAGAAAATCTCATTGTTATTTGACGAAATTTTTATGTTAGTATCCTATCGAATATCGTCATTATTTTTCTTTACCTAGCTTACCCAAGAGACAATATTAACGGAGTTATCGGCAATACATTTGTAAGTATAATAAGTCAAATTAAATTCAAGTAAAACGTTACCATTTATAAAGTCAGTGCAAAAACCTTTAATTATATTTAAATCAATTTTATGGCGATATTTTGTATGTATAGAGCACGTGAGATGACGCTGGTGTTGACAAACAATAGGATTAGAATATAATACGAACGATGCCGCAGTTATTTCTTACTTATAGTTAGGGTTGCTACTTGCCGTTTAGTAGTACTTAAATAATTTAATTTGCTTTATAATTTCTTATAGTTTTTTTTAATTTCATATGAAAGAGGTATGTAATTTATATTTAATGAAATAATCTAAAAACTTATGAACTTCTTGAAATATATTATGTATAGAGGCTACTGTGTGTAAAGTATTTTTGTATTCCATTATTTAAGACGAGGCAACCCTCCTTATCAGCAGACATACAACAACATTACGCTGAGCTCAGAAAGGCTCAAGAAAATCTTAATTACTTTAACAAATTATAAATTTATGATAGGGAACATTGTACATAAGATGTATTATAAACAGATTTTGATAAGAAGTTATTTAAAAAAACATGCAGCTACAAAATTAAAGTAACATTTTAATTTTTATGTTATCTACGTGGAAACATAAATAGAATTTACTTCAAGCACGTGTTCGCATATTGTAAAATGTAAATATTTCAATTGTACAAGTACACCATAAAACACATCTGTGATCTGGTATTTAATAGAATACAATGAAGAAATAAAAGTGGCAGCAAATATATTTTCACTCAAGTAATAAACATTGCATTAATTTTCTTTAGAAAACTTGGTTTTAAGAAACAAAAATTTTACCTTAAGTCTTATTTTTGCATCGTTTTTTTAACGAAAATTTAAATAAACAAAAAAATATAATAGCAGACAAACAATGTATACATCTATCTGTCCATTCCCACGTTCCACGGTATGTATTTATTGTATAGGATGGGAAAATCCAAAGTGAAGTTTCATATTATGAAGAAGAACATAGATTTGTTAAAATAATACAATTTGTTAACTCATTTCAAAAATAGGTATAACGCCATTTAAAAATATTTCTATGTAGACCATTAGAAAAGTAAAAACGTAAATATATAAGTATCGTAACATTCTTTTTTAATACTCACTTCAGGTAAGCAGTGGTGTTGCAAGCAATAATAATTGGAGGACCCGTCGTAATGACACCAGGTTCCATCGGGGAAGTAGGGATCTAGTCCTACGTCGTTGAGCTCCACTCGAGGCGCGTAGAAGCCTCCGCCTTCACCACGTCTGCAGAAGATGGCACAACCCATCCACATACGAGCTGTAAATGAAATAGCATATAACAATCAATAAATTTCTTAGTATCTGGTGTTTGGTATAATATATTGCTCTGATGATCACCACTTCGATTCCCATTTAGGAACCATAAATATAAAAAGAAATGCTAATTAAATATTTTTACTTAAATACATTTATCCTATAAAATTCAAATGTACATGCGCACTTAAAATGTATTTATAGAAATAGAATAGTCATAATATAAAATTAAGTATGTTTGCATGGACTAATATTTATTTAATAAATATATAGGACGTCAGACGTCAAGAGTTAAACGGTAATCAAAATAAATACTGCGATAGAGAATACCAATATAGCTCCCTTCTTGAAATATTAATGTAAATATTTATCTAAAAATATGATTCACTAGCTTGCTTCCCCATACAAACTTTCATCCCCGTGATTTCCCGGACAAAAAGTATCCTATGTCCTTTCCAGGGTCTCAAACTATCTTCTTACCAAATTTCATCTAAATTGGTTCAGTAGATTTAGAGATTACCCGCTACAACGCCATAAACTGACAAAAACCTTTTTATAATATTAAGTATAGATAAAGACATCAAAATAGAAGAATCCTCTACGGAACTCGTAGAAATAGCATAAATTTCCCTGCGAAGTATTCCCGATACTTAGAAATATCCTATTCAAACTAGACTAAAATAACTTTATTATCAGCTGAATAAACCTGCTTTTATCTAATTATATAAATAAGTAAAAGTATTTGACAGTAAACATATTGATAAAATTAGACAAAGTTATTTCGGACTTTAAACTTTATTACTGTCAAAATTCAAATATGTAATTAATTATTATGACATTATGTAGGTAGTTGAATAATTTTCATATAAACAAATGTACACTATAGTAGGGGAGCCCAAGAGGGGATTTTCTGTAGTTACTCGAGCGCGGCAGATTAACATAAAAGAGGTTACCTTGCACTCTATTGAGTACTTTCACCATAATATAAGTCTTCTATATAAAGGGGCGCGTCTAGGGAAGCCGATTAAAATATTTAAAAAGTGTTTTGATAAGGTAGAAATACTTGAAACCGTCAGATTAAGGTGTGGTAGGCTAGTCACATCCTGAAAAGTGTCCAATTCAATAATCTGCCGATTTGCACAAGCCGAAGAGGAAAAAATCGACTATAAAGTTTATGATGATTTTTATTAGTAGTAGTAACTACAGAAAATCCCCTCTTGGGCTCCCCTACTACTACACGTGCTTACTCCCCTGCGGTCATAACATGTGAATCATTTCTGTAAATGAGTAGTAAGAGCTTATCATATCTCTTGAATTATTGTCAGATTATTTCCACTAAAGATATATCTTCTATCTGAGAATGACGCGCTCCCGACAAAAATGCAGTAGTTAAAAGAGACATAATAATAACTATCATCATACGACAGATCTTGTGTTCGTATTATATTGCCTCATTCAAATGAAGAAAAATTAACCAAGCGCGTGTCGGGCCACACAATGTAAGGTTCCGTAGTTGCCCATCACAATAATGCGGACTAAGAAGCCCTCTTCTTTTTGTTTGTAAGCATGTTATGATTTTATTTTTACATGGTTAATAAGCTGATATTTACTACGTGTTTTACACAACTAACAATGTTATATATAAGTAATTTTCAATGGAATTCGTACGATACTTTTAATTCTTTTTAAGATGGTCAACTATTACTCGTAAACTTGTAAAACCTACTTAGCTGTGATAGTTGTCCTTTTAACTTTGTTATATATACTACTACCGTGTTTTTTTACGTACCCACAAACAACCACTTGCCACTGTAAAGCTTAATATTTAACAAACAGATCCCCTAATCGAAAAATTGTTTACAAACTCACAATATTTTTGAAAGACCTATCCAACGACACCCCACACCAAGGGGTAAACGAAAGAAAAGAATAACATCCCCACTCTACATGTAGAGGTACCTACCTACCCTAAAAAAAATGTTTTTTCATGATTTTACTTTATCACTTTGTCGGCGTAAATCCATGCCAAATTACAGCTTTCTAGTACTAAGATTCACTGAGCTAAGCTGCAGACAGACGGACGGACAATGGTTATGGAAAATGTTTGAAATTTGGTTTGAATATTTTTTTTGAGATTTGATAAATTTGGAAATCACGGTTTGATATCTGCATAAGATTACTTCTGGTTTTATAATAAAAAGGAGAATCAAGAAGCGAGGAGTTTTGTGATTCGGGAAACCTGATTAGAAGTTTTTCCTCTCTAATAATCGCTAAAAACAAAGTTGTAATGTTATAAAGAAAATTAAAAAATAATAGAGTAGTTACTAAAATTAGATACTGTATTTTTTTTAGTAATTCGAACATTCGTCAAGTTAGCCCCATTAGTTATTTTGAGACAAGCACTCATTATTATCTAGTTACCTTGTGTACAAGCATTATCGCAGACAAATATTTATAACTTTAATAAATTAACAGTAACTCGTTTAATGAAGCTTATCTCTAAGTTAAGCTAAGTTTTAGTCCACTCTCTCTCTCATTTAATTGTATAATATAATACCTACCAGTGTTCATTGTAGCAAGTTCTCAATCAATAACAATATCTCGACGCTTCTATGATAAATCATTATATAGTAAACATTTCATTATATATGTACATAATTATTATTATATTTCGAACTAAAGGGTATTTATCTTACTCACAGAGTATATTGTACTTTGAGATAGCAGTAGTGCTTTAATAAATGAAAGGAAACTTGGGTCTTGACGTTATTTTTTACTATCTAAAACATTTAATACATATGTATATTGTATATTATATGTATATTTTAAAATTTGATATATTTATATTTGACGACACGTTTGGCTCAGTTTGTTTTACTTGCTGTGTCAGCGGTCGCGGGTTCTAGCTCCGTTGGGGGCTTTCATTGTGTGATGAGCTCCAATTTGTACTCTAGTCATGTTTATTACCATGGAACTAGATGGTGGTTTGTGTTAATGTCCCAACATATTTATTCATATTTATCATCACAATTATGTGAAAATAAGCTTCTTTAGTATCCCTATTTTTAGAGCCATCTGGCTCGAGACATAATTCTCAGAGAATCCAGTACCTATATCTCACGTCATCTAATACACGTTGATAGTAGGTACTACATTTATAAAATTTCGCGGCGCAAGCATAATAATAGCAAAAATAGCCAAAATTTTAAGAGATAAGGATGAATGGGGCATTACTCTTGACATACAGAAAAACAAATTTAAGAGAAGTCAATGTAATAATTAAATTCTGGCAACTGCTGAATCCAAATTTTAACCAATTTAATCTCTATCTGAAAGTTTAAATGTGTACCTATAAGAAAATAATAAACTATGTATGATTTTATGGTTTACTTTTTTACGCTGAACGGATTGGACGGATTTAGATCAAATTCAGTACACAGATAGACTGTTACCTATAATAGTATTAGAGTAACACAGGCTATTATTAAGAACAAGTGATGCTTATATGTTTATATTTAAGTTAGTATTATTTTAAAATTTAAATAATATAAATACTTGGGTCGTGTGGCGCCTGCAGGCCGCCGCCGCGCGGGTCTAGCTCCGGCAGCCGCGCCGCGTACTCGCCGCACTTGCGCGCCGCTAGCTCGGTAGCAGTCACTCGCTTCTTCTTGCCGCAAATCTGTTTTAATAACACGTTGCTATTGGAAATGTTTAGGAGAAAATCCATATCCATATTCTATACATATAATAAAATTGTGACTAAGCCGAATCTGTACATTAAATATTTTTTGGTAAATCTTAGTGAAATAAACATTATCATCGATACAGAGGCCGAATCTATAGTTTTTAGAATTTTTGTTTGTCTTATTATTACAGCACGTACCTAATTTGTAAGAAGAAAGTTTTTTAAAATAACAATTAAACAATTTATTTAAAAAATATTATTGTTGATTTTTTTTAAAAACCGCTCAACCGATTTCGATTAAAATATAAAAGGGAAGTATAACTTTGAAATAAAAAAATTTTTTCCAAATCGGTTCAGCGTCTTCGAGTAATCGGTGAACAAACATAAAAAAAAAGATTCCGACGAATTGAGAACCTCCTCCTTTTTGGAAGTCGGGTAAAAAGGCCGCCTCTTCGGTATTTTTCTATCATTTTGTATATTTTCTTTTCTTTTTGGGTGTACATTGTACAATAAAAGGTTTTTAATATTAAAAGATTGAATCATTTTCTATAATTTGTCTTCGTCGGATTGTCTATTTCCACGAACAACCATTAGATAAAGCCAAATAGGCGGTTTTTGCTTATTTTTTTCTATTGACAGATTGCGTCAGACAGAATCGTGATATTTTAAACAAACCTCATATCTCGTAGTCACATATAAAACGTTGCTCATGTTTATAAGCTATTGCGGGAAAAATAATGCATATACATTATATGATGTATACTATACAATTTCGAAACCGCAGACAATAGCCAATATGTATAAACTATGAGGATTTCAAGTAATGACATTCATATTCATACTCCATAATAATATTACAAATGTGAAAGTGTGTTTTTTTGTTTGTTTGTTTTTTGTTTGTCTTTCTTTCACGTCGAAACGGCTTGGCGGATTGGCGTGATTTTTTGTGTGGAGATAGTTGGAGGGCTAGAGAGTGACATAGGCTACTTATCACCTCGCGAGATTATCTCTTTCCCACGGAAAAACACGTTTTATTACAATCGAAAAAAATATTTATGATTAGAATTACTTCAAACTTGGTATTAATGCTCTTTAATACAATTAATTAAAACAGCATTTTTTGAAATTCATTCCATAAGGGGTTAAAATAGCGTATGAAAGTTTGTATGAAACCTACCATTTTAGTCTTTTTTATAGTTTTAGCACGAACGAAGCCCGCGGGTTCTGCTAGTAATTTAAATATTCACATTATGATAATTAAAGAAAATAAAACTGTTATGTTTAACTTTCAAGAAGACATAGAAAACTAAGACAGTTAATTAAGATTAAGCTTTCTTAATATAAAAGACAATAACCTTAGAATCATCACATAGCGCTACATCATAAGAAGATCCATCGCAGATCGAATTTTCCGAACACGAGCGTCTGCGCTCGCGAGCGCCGCGGCTTCTGTACGTGCAGCCGGAGTTGCAGGTGCCTTCACTCCACTCGTTCCACGTGTCCTGTCCCTGAAGTGGCGGCTTGGCACTCGATATCACTGCGGGGTCCGCTTCCACGCAATCTCCTCCTTGACACCACTGAAATGAAAAAATAATGCAAAATTAAATAAGTACTCATGCTATTTCTAATTTTATAATATTGTTTTTACATTTTGTGTTTTATACGTTCGTATAAAATAACGTAATGAAAAATTACGTTTATGTTAATGCAGGATATAGCTAACGGCAATCTGGATAGATAGAAAATAATAAGAGAAAAAAATATATTGTTGGACACTGTATTATGTAAATACAAAAAAAAATAATTTGTGTGTAAATTTGTATGTTTGTTCCTCTTTCACGCTCAAACAGCTGGACGAATGTGGATGAAATTTTATAAGTACTCCGGGTCATGGGCTATCTGTGTACCCACTACTGTTAGGCACTTAGAAATGCACTCAAGCGAAACAACTCAAGAGGGTAAATCCATAGTTTTCAATAAATCATCTTTAATGTAAAAAAACAAATGTGTACCGGTACTTTAATTATATTGACTCAGTTAACATTCGATAAGTTGAATTGGAATTAAATCTCAAACAACCTTCCCATTCCCACATGAAGTGCCGGGCAGCGCAGGCCCGGCGTAGTAGAAGCCGGCGCGGTGAGGAGAGCGACACGTCAGCTGCATGCACTGCGCCGCCTCGCTGCTCGCCCCCGGGGCTTGCGCTGGCGCTGCGTCTTTATCTCGGAGAAGTATCTGGAAAAACCAGTATTATCATGGTAAAGTCCCACAAAATGTGATATATGATTATATTTTTGGTAATTCCATAAACCCATACTAATATTTTAAATTTGAAAGTTTGTGAGGTTGGGTGGATGGTTGGATGGATGATTGTTTATTACTCTTCACGCCAGAACAGCTGGACGAATCTGGATGAAATTCACAGAAATAGATTATAGTCTGAAATAGCACATAGGTTACTTTTTATCCTGGAAAATGTACGGTTCCCGTAGGACAGATTTGTTTTCGTTTTTCACTAGGGAGGAACCCGAGCGAGACGAGGGATATTAGCTAGTAACTAATCTTCCGGTTTGAGGATTTAGCAAATTTAAATGATATTTTGCATGGATTAACATACAGGTTAATTTTTATCGATGTGCCTATCACCTTAACACACGTTCAACACACAACAAACGTTAGGTTTGTTACTAATAGTTAGTTTTTACTACTGTGTCGTTGCCGTTGCTTTGGTGTTGCATTACTGCCTGCCTACAATCACTAAGTGACTAAGCATTACTAATAATTCATATCACAAGAGCCTGTGCAACAGAAAGCTCATATTATATCTTTCGAAGTACATATACATATGTACAGTAATTAATTAGTTTTTCCGTAAATGTCATATTACGGTATTCCCCTAATGAGTTAAGTAAAATACGTATAACTATAATATACCTATTATATGGCATATTGAAATAAAAATTCGTCACGCCTTGCCTAACAGAAATCAAAAAAAAACTATAAATAGAATAAATATGAAAGGTAATGTTTAGAGAAATATAAAATAGTTAATTTATAGATCAGGAAGAGTTCAACGAGCGACGTGAGGTGTTATTTTAATGTCTGTCTACGAATTAGTAGTTATGTGTTAAATATATGTAAATATAAAGTTCAACTTTCTACTGTGAAAACAACCTAAAAACTTGTCAATATAAATATAGGATCGCTCACGATGCGAAATCAATAGATATAGCATAAACATATTGGTTTACAGGATAAAAATATTTATTAAAAAAAAATAAGGATATATATTTTACTGGTACCGCCATGTCATGAGAAGGCTGGTAGATCACATGACTGGGAAAGTACTTGATGACAAGTCAGGACCAAAACAGCGCGGAAGACCTCGACCTACGTGGATGTCTGTAGTTAGGAAAGACATGGAAAACAACAATGTTGACCCAAGGACGACCCAGGAAAGACATCTGTGGAGAAGAATGATTAGAAGAGCCGACCCCAAATAGAGATAGGAAAAGGCCAGAAAAAGAGAGAGAATATATAATTTACTTATATTTACCTCGCATTGTTTCTTAGCCCCCCACAAAACACCCGGTGCGTTTCCAAATCTTTCATGCTGCAGTTCTTTTGGCGTGTCCAAGTCGTCGCTGCCATCGAACAAACATGTTGCCCATCTGAAGACAAAATTATAAAATTCATTAAATTATAATTGTATTTATACTTATTAGCAAAGTATCATATATATCTATATCAATGTTTCTTTGCATTATTAAAAAGTTTTTAAATATTCTGTCGCGCGGTAATTGGAAATTTCTAGTACAGATATCGTTTACATTTGACGTCACAATTACGAGGAGTTCAATTAATAAAATTGATTTCAGCCTATAAATTCAAAGTGTGTACACATACTTGACGATAAACAATGAATCCAATTCCATAGTTGACTCTTGCCCTTAATAAATACTTCTCTTTAATCAGAAGCAGATGCACATAAAATAAATAATACCTTTGAAATACAATATATTTACAGTACATTTCTTATAGAGCCCAAGTCAATGAATATTGCACATTATCGAGACTGACTTACAACATGATAGTTAGGACCTACACAACAGATATATTTTATCACCCAATTAAATATAAGGGTATAGGTATATAGAGATATAGTGTAATCGTTTTATGTATGTTTAACTACAGTGTAAAATGTAAAATAAAACCAAATAAATCTGGTATTAATTGAAAGTAAAAGGTATCAGTAACATAACAAAAAAATTAGGTTGTTGGCTGAATCACGGTGGTCAGTTTTTGAGAAAATTGGAGCAAGGTAAGATGCATGACCGAGTAGACTTTCACATACGATTTGGTGTGATATTGAAAGTCTTAATATACAAATGAATCCTATTCCACCGTGATCATATTTCATTGTACAACCCATCCAATAGGTATATTTGCTTATTTATTATGTTTAATACGAAGTGTTATTCATTCAGTAAGCAAATAAGTGAAGCGATTATACTTTGAATCTTAGACTAATAAAAGAAAGTTGCCCTAATGTATTGAAACTTACTGTAAGTCAGCGGCGACTCTTGCACTACAAGTGGACCAGGTGGCTTCTCCGTTGGTTCCGCGCGACGGTGACATGATGAAGCCGTCGCGGGCGCACGAGTTACCCGTGCCATCATGGTGCATGCCCAGACTGAAATATGTAATGCAATATGTAAATGTTATATCATAATTAATCTAAAAAACTCACTTCATATTCCAATAGAACAATTTCACTTGAATGACGTTGTATATGTAGTTGAATAAATAAAAATTATATCTTTTAATTAATTCTTCATACCCAAAAACATATAAGAGTTGAAATTTTCATGATACATGCCACTATTATCCGACTAATGACGCTGTCCTCTATCCGCTTATCGTAATTATACTAAGAATTAAATCTTGAAGATGCACCCTGTGCAGCATCTAAATATGATCGTCTTTATCGTGGGTATCTTATAAGTTACAATGGTACATAATACTTGATATTGGAATATTAACCAAATATAAGGTAGTAATTAATACCTTTAGCACTATTGGAATATCTTGAAATGTTTGATGAGCATTTGTTTAAGCTGAAATACCCTAACATTTTATTGCTTGTACCTTAGTTTTTACAAAACTGCGAAGCGTTATCTAAGAACGACTGAAGCAGGACGAGCAAGCTCACTCATCTCAGTGTGAACACTTTCTCGTACGATATAAGTAAGATGGAGAGTCAAAGACTAATCGTGTGACAAGTGTATTAATCTATTTAATTGGCGAAGCAGAACGCTAAACTTTGTCTTAACTAGAGCGAAGCAACCATCTATTTGTTAAAATAAACATGCTTGTATGATATTCGAGACTGAGACTTTCCTTGAAATTGAGCGATCTTTTGTGAAATTATCCCACTGTCTTTACTTTTTAGTATTTGAATTTATTAAGAAAATCGTATAATTGCATTTGCATAATTACTCGAAATCTTCTCTAAATATAACATTATAATATTTGAGAATTGATTACAAGGAAATAACAATAGTTAAATGGGAGTTTAACTGACTTGTGGCCTATCTCATGTGCGAGGATGTAGACGGACGTGAAGCCGGCAGAAGGATAGGGACGGCCGAGAGTGTCGGAAGCACCGAACTCGGACACCACGCATGCGTGCGCCGGCAGACACACGCCGCCCACTGGCGCGAGCCCCATCGTCACACCGTTGCGGTGACCACCCTCTTCAGAGTAGAAATCTAATCTAAAAATATGAATACATGAGTTAATATGTTTGTCAATATAAAAATAATATTTGACACGAATAGTGAGGTGTAAAATTCATATTATAAAGATTTGATGCCATATAGTCGAACAATATCGAAAAAACTATTTTATTTTATATTATTAATAGTACTACACCAAAAATATGAGTAGGTAGGCACATCGCGACTGTTTTAAACAAAACAGGAAAAATATTCGGTTAGCATCTAAACATTTAATTACCGTATTGTATTGACCACCGGTGTCAAAGCTACTAATATGTTCCATAACGGAAGTGGAAATCGTCGAAATTATTATCTACGAGTATATATGAATAAACAAAGTTCAGTATCTTTTTCTCCTCTGTTTGTTTTCATTTTCCGTTCTTTTTTTTGTTTAGTAGCTTTTGGTGAGCTTTAATTTAAAAGCATTTTATATAATATATAGGTTCCTTCCATTTATATATGTGTTTCTCAAATTTTTAATAATGATTATGGTCTAATTTCGTACACTAAGCGAGTACTAGATAAAATAAATAGGCAAAGACAAAACAGTTCAGTAATCAGTACCTTTTTCTCCTCTTGTAACCAATTTTCTTTTCGTATTTTTTTAGTATAATAACGTGCTTAAAAGTGTTATCAATAAATGATTTTGGAATTAGTTCGTTTTCTTCATATAGAACGGTAAATTCTGTTCGTATATGTTTCCTTAAATTTTCAATAATAATAATTATAGTCGACTTTCGACTACTGGGTGATGGCTAGTTATTATATAATAATTTAAAGAACAAACCCAGAAAGTAAGAGGGCCATATCCCAATGTTCAGGATCGTCGTCATCGTCAACGTTTAAAGAGCGTTGATATTCGCAGAAAGAGTCTAAGAGTCGACCGCGTTCAGCGAGTGTGGAGAGAGATGACGGTTGAGAGCGCAGTAACGTGAGGCGAACAAGGGACAGGTTCACGCGAGTTCCCAGTGAGGAGTGGTGGTATAATGCTTGTACCTATGGAAGAAATTTTAATAATTTATATCATATTAAAATTACTGCGAACTGCGAAATATTAATTCCAATAAAATAAATAAAAACAAATAATAACTACAAAACATCAGCTACAAAACAATAAAACTTTGTTTTAATGACAAATTTTTACGACTCTATTAGTCGTTAACGTCAACTTGTGCAATCTGAGATCAAATTAAATTAAAAAATTCTTGGTAATTTTTATGTGTCTTTCGTCATTCAAACCAAACTAAGTACCGTTGCTGTTGACCTGAGTGTTTTGATATGCACTCATTTTTTGTTTAAAATGACATACTTTTAATATTTACTTTGTAAACATATATCGAATACATTACATTAAAAAATGACCTTAGATATAATGCCACTAGTTTAAGGGACCACGTCAATCGTGAATAAAATTGGTCAGAAATGAAATGTACGTATATGTTATGTTTATATAATTTTGATTCTAGGATATATTACTTCATGATAGAACAAAATAAAAAAGAATTAACTAAATATTTCATTAAGGCATATTACGGTTCAAAATATAATTAAACAGGCAACGGAGGCTTATTAATAGGGCCCGAAACTGATACTTCGGATGGGGAAGGGAAGCCTAAAAATTACAATATTAGACAGTACATAATATGATAGTATTGCATAGAAAACTAACGCCATTGATATAAGCGAGCAGCATATCTCGCAAATCAGCTTCGTTATAATTGAGGTGAGGATAAAACAACTTGTATGCTGCCTCATCCAGGAACAAGGCGATTTCTATGGTGTAAGAAGAAGGTGTGGGCTTAGCCGGGTACATTCTTGGTCTTCTGACAGTGCGGCGAAGTGGTCGGTCATCATCAAGGAGGGGTGGTGGTGGAGGTGCCCGACGGATTACGTGTGCCGTCCTTTCATGTCTGCCGCCTTTTGGCACTCGTCCTGCACCTGATGATAGCGGTCGCACTTCGTATGTTGAATTTTCAGTCATGATAAGTCCGTGCTGAAATAAATTGGAAATACTTAACTAACTTCACATTAACTCTTATACGTATTTATTTTACGACACGTTTAGCTCAGTTTGTAGTGACCCTACTTGCTGTGATAGCGTCGGGGGTTCGAGTCCTGCTGGGGGACATTCATTAGTGTGATGAGCACGAATGCTTGTACTCCAGCCATGAGTATATTTATAATATATATGTATTTAAAAGTTATATATGTGTAGTGTATCAACCATCTTACCATGGAACTAGGTGTTGTGTGTTAATGTTCCAACATAATTATTTATTTTAACCAAAAGTCAAGATACATCAATCAAATCGATTAGATTATTTGTATGAAATATTCAAATACAAAAATATGTTTACCTTATGTAGTTTTCAAGATTACAGATACGGGTTATCAGAAAAGTTATTGAGGTATTGAAAATTGCCCTAGTTCTATTTGCATTTCATTAATTTTATTGACCTAAGTTACTGCTTTGCATCCTTGAAATACCTTACGTTGCTAAATGTTAAAATGCAATTGACTAACTAGCTTATGGTCTCTACAGGCAGAAAAAGCAGCCACGGCGCCGGGTCCACTGTGCAGAAAATGACAAGTAGAGTCTACTGTTGATAGCGCCTCATCTGGACCATTTTCTGACCACACTCGGAATTGAGATGACACAAGTCGTCTATTTGGTAAAAGTTGGAGATCAAAATTTCTGGAATTTCGTAAAACAGGTAATTAGATATGTATTAAAAAGAATTGGTTTGTCTAATGGATAGCTTATAAGCCTCCAAATCGTGATGGCTTAAATTTGAGACCCTAATAAAACATATATTATGAAGTTATTGAGTCTGTATGTACATCAAAAATTCTGCCAAAAAAAACCTGAAGCGTATTACTTTAATCCATATAAAATGATAAAACTTAAAATACTGCTTAAGCTATATAATAAAAAATGTGGTGCGAATACAATTAAAATATATAAAAAAAAATTGCTGTAGTTTTAAGTCCAACATAAATTATAATGAATGAACAAAGTCAACCTTTATTGTTAAATTTATTATACGGAAAAAAATTACATTTTAATATTCTTTTATTTCAAGCTACGTTTTAGTCGAAGTCGTCTTATTGTATGCTAATAATAATGACCACAACTGAGCAACTGAATTATTCTACATTATTATGAGGTTTTATTTTAAATTTTATATTATTGAACTAATGAACCAAGTTACCTTCCAAAAGCATCAAAACTATAAGACAATGGTACGTCGTGATCAGCCGAGCTGCCGTCCGTCTGCGCTTCACGAGGCAATAATGCCGGCAAGTACACAACTTGAACATCTTTGCTACCATCTTCCAACTTCTCTCCGGGGTTTACACCACTCGACCACCATCCGTGAAATGGCAGAATGTCCTAAAATCGTATGGGTCATATTCGTGAGTAATATATCTAAAGCTTACAAACACTTTACCAAGAACGGTCAAGAAGACAATACCTTTTATGACGAATTTACCACAACCGTAACTCGCTGCTCTTATGCTAATTAAATAACCTCAAAATCTTATGCTAATTAAAAAGCCTTGCCAAAAAATGGGTACGTCCTAAATACACATAATACCTACATTGTTTACTTTCTTAGAATAACAAGAAGTCTCTCAGATATAATTTTATTTGATCATGTGTAATGAAAAATATTAAATTTTATAAAATAAAGTAATATTTATTATTAAAAAACAAAACGAGTCGGTAAATCCACTACGTACATGATAAATATTCTTATAAAATAATCGGGGTCACCGCAGCCGGTCAATAGCAGAAGCACCAACAAAGCTTCTTATTCGTGTTTTTGCGCACATACCACTTGCTAATGACTAATCTTAAGTCTAATAACCAAACTGACTTCATATGAATTAATTAACATGCTTAATTAAGCGTTGCTAAACAAATATGCACATGATATAAATTGACCTAAATTAATAATCTACAAAGTTGACCTTACAGTTTTTGCAGTAATAATCAGAAAGAAAGATCGATGAAGACTCTAGAGGAGAGGCTTGGACTACAGCAATCAGTCCCTTGGCTTTTTCCTAATTTGAGGTCAGTCCTCCTGATAGTTTTACACCACTCTTGGCGATTTTGCGTCATTTGCTGAGAGTCTTGGACTACGATTTTACAATATTGTGTTTTACCATAAGCAGATTACTAATTTAGTAAAACTCAAGCACAATAATTAGGTAAAATATTACGTTAATTTGTAAAAGCAGCAAGGACTAAAAGCCTTATTATTAATTTTAAATAGAATTAAACGTTCAAAGTATTTAAGGATCTAAAGAGATCGATGATTGACATCTCATAGAGGTGAGTGAAACCGAAATCTACACATATGAGTCATCTCAGTGTACAAACGAAATTAACGGTCACAAACAAAGTATAGGGGAAAGTAAAAACTATTTGTATTCCATTACTCCCGCACGAGACAATGTACTCTATTATCAAATTTTTAGAAACAAGTTAAGAGGTGTGTTAAATTTAAAAGTCATTAATTTTGGAATTCAATTGTCAGTGTTACGTTTGCGTTCCGGATGATGAAAGTTATTCGCATCGATCTCCATTACGTAGAGTCTGGCATCACGTCGCGTCGCCGCCTCGGACAATAGCGCTCGGGATGTGAATCATTCAGATGCGATCAAAAAACATCTAATTACTACGTGACATTTACGCTTGTGTAATCCTAGTACGTGATCCAGTACGGGAAAGACCTACGGCTCTATTGAGTTATGTAATATAATTGCCAAAATAAAATTATACAATCCAGATCACCAAGAAGTAGGTAGTGAAAGTTATTGTATCACGAGTTGCTCTGCTTATACAATTTTTAAGAATCATTAAATCAATTTTATTACACCATATTGGGTTAATTTTGTAATGTTCGAGCAAATATGATTAATGTATGAATTTTGATTCGCCCGCGTTCAGATGACCAAAAACCAAATTCTTAGGTTTTACATATTAGTATACTCTTATTTTACAGTTTTTGTATTTTTTCTCAGAAATGAGATATTTTTCCGCAGTTAAAAATATCCTATATGTTGATCCGGATAATCAGCTATGACCATACCAAATTTCATCTAAATCCGTCCAGTAGTTTTTCTGTGATGCGGTAACAGACAGACAGACAAAAATTCTAAAAACTATAGATTCGGCCTCTGTATCGATTAATGTTTTGATAATCTGACGGTTTCAAGTATTTCTACCTTATCAAAACATTTTTTAAATATTTTAATCGGCTTCCCTACAGATTTGACTCAGTTAGAATTTTATTATATGTATAGATTCATGTTATAGTATATTCTAAATCAAATAAATTATATAATTTAAGTATTAAATAAAAATATTCAAATTGAGAGTTACAAACGACCCCGACCTGAATACTGCTATAATAACAAGACATTGAAAGAGCCTGAGAAACTAACCACTTTGTCTTATTTCCTTAGTTCCCGAACAAATGATGTGGTCATCAGAAAGTACCCGTTAGGAATATGAATGACATATGTATTGACACTTCACTTACGATGAGGAATATTTAACTAAGACTTTCCATACTAAAGCTTTCTTTACTAGAACTTTTTTAAATCCAATTTTTTTAGAACCCTTAAATTATGCGCAAAGCGTACATGACACACTGTATCATTGATATTTACCTATATATCTTTAGAAAATAAAATTATACTAATATTGTTATACTATTTTGGAGTTGTCGTTAGATGCTTAAGAATGTATTTTGAAAAATTAATTTTAATAATTCGATATATCGTCTCTATGTATACCGTGGAAATGGGATAGAGCTGAGAAATACAAATACTGCCAGAAACTCTACATCGGGCTAGAAACTCCCAGACATTATATCGCCACTGCAGTCGTTTAGTCCTACATATGTAGACGCAGTATGATATAGCTCTATGCTTTGTAGCATCGAATGGATCAATAATAAGAGTTCATTTTTGTACATAGTTTGTACTCTGTACCTATTTGAAATTGGTATTTTATTAAATAAAATTTGCGAATTGTAGACTCTTTTAGCAATATCGTGCTTTCTAATATTTAATTAGACACAATCATACAATTAGTTAACCTTGTGAAAAATACAAAATGTATTTTTCAAAAAAATCAAAATTCAAAATATTTTATTAGCATTAAATTATTACAATTTTTTACTGAACGTCATGAGTCTACTACCAGTTCGGAAAGAAGAAGCCTCAGCCTTGAGAAGAACTGACGAAAGAAACTCAGCGGGACTAATATTAACTTATCTTTTTTTAATGTAAAATTTAAAGGTCCTGTTTATATCAGTAAAGTTAAAAAATTAGATTTTGCTTGTACAAAGAAACATACGTACATAAAATATTAAAATAAATAATATTTCTGTAAATTATAATTAAAACAAAGAGTTTAAACTAAACCTATTTAGGTTAACTACCTAAATCAATAACTTAAACATTTAAATACCCAACACACTCCGCATTTTTATTGTGTTTAATTTGGTGATTTCTATGTGTAATTTTAAAAGAAAAACTATATTATGTAATGTATTTTTTATAGAGCATAATATATATGGGCGTAGTTTATACATTTTATGTGATATAAAGTTTTATTTAGTCTATATATAATTTATAATTTAACATTATAAAGGGAAATTGTGATGTAATCGTTTTTATAACTAGAAAATCTATTATTTGAAATTATTCTCTTCTTTTAAAATATAATTATTTTATTGATAATAAAAGTTAAGAATAAGTTTCACCTACCTTCAGCTATATTAATTAAAAAACAGCTAGATATTAAAAAAAGTCTGTTTTAATAAAAAAATTAAGAATGCCAAAATTATCATACAACTCAATAAGTAATATAATAAATTTACATGTCATTAGCGTAAATATAGAAAAGTAAAAATTTTGAGTAAATTAAGTTGACTCTCAAATTCATAAAATGTCGTTATTTTAGCACAACATTGTCTTTGAGCAATTTTGGTTAATACTCTACGTCTTAGGAAGCAATCCTTAGTTAGATTATAAATTAAAATTAATAATTAAATAGTTTAAAAAAATTAAGTTTAATAAAATGAAAGCAGTGCCGCCCGCCCTCGGATGCATATTTACTTACGGGAAACCGCGCAGGCGTGCCGCCTCGTAGCGCGAAAAACAGAGCTACAAATACTACTTTAAGTATATGCGCCATAGCTTACTAACATCTCACTTCACGACTTGTATTATTACTATATAAAACTCGGCACTTCTTTATAAATACGCAACAATCATGCAGGTGTTTTGAATATCGGCAAAGAGCTCAATGCACTATGGCTACGATTGGAAAATATAATCACTTCGACGGTATCGCGATAAGAGCGAGTACACTTATGCTTTGCCGGCTACCGAATAACCATTGCGTGCCCTCAGTGAACACCTTTCGCACCTCCGAGAGAAAGTCAAAGGAAAGTGCAGATTTTGGCTGTCAAGACGCCGCCCACACTCGTCCCCGTAGGAGCATTGTTACGAGTCATCCATCACTCGAATCTGTCGCTTGCCGGCGCTTCCACTTATCGAAACAAATTAACAAAACTGGCGTACACTGATGCAGTCACCGATAGTTGTTTTAAAATACTTTTTATATTTTAAATATTAATTATATTTTCGTTTTTAAGACAGTAATTTAGTTTTAATTATACATAACTAGCGACTCACCCACGCTTCGCTTCGGATTCATGCCTAAACAAAAACAAATCTATCCCACGGGAACTGTACATTATTCCGGGATAAAAAGTAACCTACGTCCTATTCCAGACTTTAATCTATCTCTGTGCCAAATTTCATCCAGATCTTTTCAGCGGTTTTAGCGTGAAAGAGTAACAAACATCCATCCATTTATTCTCACAAACTTTCACATTTATAATATTAGTAGCGATAGTGATTATATTCTAATACAAATACAGCATAAAATACATATTTTTGAGAAATTTTTACTTCCATTTGTATGTACTTTTTACCTTTACATATTTTAAGGTCAATGATACTTAGGTATATCTGCATTAGCAGATAACTAAGACACCCGCACAATCATTAAGTAATTGATTTTATTAACACGCGGGCTTCATGACTCACTGTAAAAGTGTGTATAAACGTTAAATTCGATGTCTTATATACTCGCTACACCTGCTAATTCCTTTTAAACGTGAACTAGCACTTTAAGAAAAGTTATTTTTTTGTTTTTGTTATTACAAAAAAAGGCGCAAAAATAGTTTTAATGACATTTATCTTCTACAGCTCTATTTTGCTACTTCTGATTTATTTACGGGATTCAAAATTAATAAAAACTTGACGTAACTATTAATAAAATATATATTAAAATATAACTAGTAATAATATGAGGTCACTATTAATAAATCAATACATGCACTTATAAAACTCATGTAGTAGTTTCTGTAAAACAACCGAACTACTTTTCTTACTAGACAAAACTAACGTCTAAGGTTTTTAACTAAAACAGATCAACAACCAAATTCAAAAAGTCCAAGTTTTATAATTAGGTACAATTTTCAAAATATAATCAATAACAATAAACAAAATTTGCCTCACTAATATTGCTGTAAATATTGTTGTATAATTAAACATGAAAATTTTAATATGGTTTGGTTCAATAATCGATTTCAATAAAATATACTTTACATTTTACTGTAAGTAATTAGATTTTGAATTTAAAACTGGTGGTTCTGTTAAAACTATAACAACTACATATTTTAGTTTACATTCAGGGGCCATAATTATCGGGTAAGTTACAGTAAAATACTACTCGAGTCGCATGACAAAGTTTGTATTTATCTTTTTTACAAAGTAGTTCTGACGTAAACCATCTGATATGTTAATGTTCTTTAAAATACCACTTTGGTAATTGAATATTATATTATATCGGATTGTAGACTCCTTAGAATAAGATATTGAATTATAGGGATATATTCAGGGAGCATATTCTCAGAGAAAAATTAGGAGGAAGATAAATTAGAAGCGAAGTAAAAACGAACGAGATGAACATACATTTGTGGGATATCAAGCAGCCAAGATGTGTGGATGACAACCGACCCATCGGCAAAGGGTGCGGTAATAGAAATGCGACGGTGGCACCAGATTAGCCATAAAATCAGACACAAAAGAGCAACAGATGCCCTAACGAGAAATACTGTTTTTCTTCTAGATGACATCGAAATTGGACGTCGCTTGATTATTCGACGCCTAGGACCCCACTGACCAATAAACAGAGAAAACATTTTAACCCGATCGTACTAATCTATATATACTATCTGCATATAATCCAATACAAACAAATGGGAAACAAATGCTTAATCTGCTTTTCAAATTTAAGAAAACGCATACCAGCTTAATCAACGGTAATAACATAAAAGCATTGTAAACACTAAAAAATACCACGTAATACCCCAAATACCTCTTAATTAAGATCTGCTGGCATATCTTTGCGTCATCCATCGATGTTGTCGAATTTTTTTTAACTACAACAATCTCAAACTTTACTGCTTAATTTTTGTACATAATATTATATTATCTTTATATTCTATAAATATATTGTATGCTAATTATAATGACCAAAGTTTTTGCAGTTGAATAATTCGATAATATGGAACGATTTTAGCTTTAAGTTACAAGGTGGGCAAGCACTAATGTTTATTAATGATCCATGGACCATGGTACTAATGAACAAACTTAACCTCCAAAAAAAATTAAATCTTGGAAATGTAATGTTCAGCTGAAATCATTTCTTCAGTGTATCATATTCATAAAAATATTATATTTAGCGACTTATGACAAACAGCACCTATACTAGTAGCAATGGGATAATTGAAACGACTCTTTGAAAATTGAATTTTTCCTTACAAAAAAAGTGTTACGTCTTAAATAAATATAATATACTAGCATTGCCCGTGGCTCCGCCTGCGTTCAGATGACCAAAAACCAAATTCTTAGGTTTTACACATTAGCATTATAGTTTTTGTATTTTTTGTCAGAAATGAGATATTTTCCCGCGGTAAAAATATCCTATATGTTGATCCGGATAACCAGCTATCACCATACCAAATTTCATCAAAATTCCTCCAGTGGTTTTTCTGTGATGCGGTAACGGACGGACAGACAGACATACACACAGACAGACAGACAGACAGACAGATAGACAAAAAATCTATAGATTAGGCCTCTGTATCGTTAAAAATGTCTATTTCAATAAGATTTTCCAAAAAATATTTAATGTACAAATTCGGCTTAGTTATAATTTTATTATATGTATAGATATACATATAGATAGATAACCAAATTGACTGAATGAATCCGCCAACGACATGAAAAATAATATTCCTATACTTTTTGTGAAATGATTATGGCCCTCGCCGCGCATTAGTCGATAGCAAGAGCACCGAAAAAGCTTCTAATTCCCGTTTTCGCAAACATATCTGATATCACTTGCTAGTGGTTAATTTTCATAAGGAAACAGACTTCTCACAAATTAATTAACATTTTTAATTAATCTTTGCATTGTACTAATTGACTAAAATTGAGCCAACTATTTTTACGACTCTACAAAGAATAAGCTGAATAACAATGAATAAGTCTTGCATATCAGTATATGTAAGAAAAACATGTATATATTTAAATATTACGAATCGAATAAGACAAATCTTGAGCGGTAGTCGAAACCCCATCCGCCAGTTTACCTCACACTTGGTGTATGCACTCACATTAGTTTTTATTATTTGTTGATTTGCTATAGAGTCATAGCAAATCTTGAGACTTAATCTTTTGACCATTCGCCGCGTTTTTATGATAAAACAAAAAAAAATAAAACATCTATACATTTTTTGCTATTGGGATTCCAAGAAATAAAGAGTCTCGATAGATATCTACGTTTAGTAGGTATTTATATTTTTATATGCGTTTCGCATATTAAATATATATCTAAATTGGAAAAAACACATTAACAATCTTATGAGTACTTGAGCATTATAAGAAAAGTAAATGGAAATTAAAGCTAATAATTATTTGTTTTTTTCCATTACTTCTCAGGGAAAACAGATAGGTACGAAATTCGTGAGAAACATGTTCTTTGAATATCTTACTAAATTAAGTGTGTTTTTGTACTATTGATTTCGGCCGATACATGAAAGTCAACGTGATTTAATTAAATATTTTTTTAATTTCGTTTACATTAGCTGATAGTGATAGGAATGAGGAGCAAAATTGTTGCCGTAATCTCCACAGTGAGCTTAAAGATACCAAACATTTTAAGATTGTCTTTCGCCTCTGCATGTCTTCGTACGTTTACAACGTAGCAGCTTCATAATTTATAGCTTCAAATGGATCAATAAAAAGCTCATTTTTATAGAACTAACATAAACTGTTGATATTTTTTATCATTTGCATTTTACCAACCGTGGATTTTTCACTTCCATAAAATCTCCGTCAGAGAAGAAATTGAATTACTTCTCAGACATAACCATTTTTATATCTAATAACACAATTAATCTTTTTTTGTGAAACCATTAGTATTCTTTTTGGGAATGCTCCGATAAGACAATAAAGGTATCAATAAAAAAGATTTTATTTTAATAGGATTAAGTACACAAAAGATATTATGAAACATATATTTCTAGAGAGCACCAAAAAAATAACGAGCAAATATATTTTTTTCTAATAAGTCTAAATACGTTTTGAAATCTACGAAACTAAATTGAGTAAAAGATAAGTCATTTTCAACCGACTTCAAAAAGGAGGAGGTTCTCAATTCGACTGTATTTTTTTTTGTGTTGTTTAAAGGGTATACTTCTAGATTGGTCCCATTTAAATTTCAAAAAAAAATACTACCCCTAAGGGTGGAAAAATAGCTAGTGATGAATTTGACCTACTTCTAATTGTCATATTAACTTTAAATTTGCAAGTGTTTCTATTTCCGTTGATAGTACAGTGGTTCGGTATTATTGACCTGATCTGATGGTAAGGCCAGAAGGTGGATAGGTGGAACTCTTCAACGGCTAATAGTAGATACTTTGAGTTTGGGCTTATTTTGTTTGATTTGACAAGCCCAACACGTTAGAATTCTTACTTCGCTACTACTGTGTACACTAAAAAAGGAAAAATAAAAACTTTTTAACAAAAAAATAAAAACCGACTTCAAACAAAAGC